CGCAAGTCTCTTTTTCCCGAGTTTACCCGGCGGCGGTATAGTGATAATTGTCGAAATTTATCACTAAAATAGAAATAGAAAATTCCCATTCTGTTGCTTTTTACATTGCTCAGACGATAAGTTAAATGGAAGAAGAGTCTAGCAGAGAAAGCAGAGTTCATAACAAGATAAGGTCCTCTTTACACCAAGATGTCAACAAAGGTAAGTTATAACCTTTTGTTATGTGCACATTCATTGGAAAAATAACCTATGTATGATATGATTCTCCCACTTACGTGTTAAGTTATAATTATTAGGAAAATCTATTCTAGTTTTAGAAGACTCCGATTACAAAATAATGATATTGTAAAGAAATGATACATGGCGGACGATGGGATCACTAAAGAATATAGTCCCCAATACAGGCAACAGCATGGCAGGTTTGGGTAGAAACGTGGGGTATGTGCCTGGTGCACTACGAAAAGACGAAAAAGAAGGTAACTTATGTTGGACCTGTTTAAATCCCAATGGTGTCACAGGCAAGAACATACAACGTTAAAAAATGTTCAGAACTCATACATGATAGCCATATTTAGTCATGCATACTTATACATTTACATGCACAAATAAAATGGTGATGATCGTCATACATTTATGATCAATTTACAAAAATACTAGCGAAATAGCCTGCTAGCTGCTTCCTAGGCAAGCAAGAAAGATTTCATGTTCTCAATATTATCTTCATCTGATAGTTATCTAACTTGACAAGTATATTTTGTTCTACATCAAGCAACTTGTGCTTTATTAATCATAATTTCCTATTTAAATGTTTACAACCAACTATATCCTTCTGGCCTGGACTTTATATAAGTGTCCTTCTTTTAAAAAGAGAACAATAAAACTGCACGTGACCATAACAAATAGAGCTATGATAACAAACATCAGTTTTTGGCTACACATAGGAGACACCACCAGTGCTGCAAACATTTTTGGAGGCCAAAAACGAAACAAGTCTCAACGCTCCCTCCTACTCCGTGTTATCGCCATCGCTGTTCCAGTAGCGCATCTGTTGGGAGTAGGAGCTTGTGTCTTCATGTATCTTAACTCCATAGAGAACAAGGTATCCGTTCTGGCATCCGTTTTTAACTTAGATTCAATGTACTTAGTAAGGTGATGCCATTTCTGTAACAATATCAAAAGTAATTATAGCACTTACTGTAATCATGGCATCACCCCATGCCCTATTCATTGGATAGTGATTTTTAACTGTTAAACAATGACATGATCTCTATATGTAGTATACTTTATTAACTGTATTATATTCACATATTTTAATTTATATCAATCACATATTAAAACAGCTTTAAAATTGTACATCAGTCTGTAATATTAAAGACACATAATACAGTTACATGTAAAACACTGTTCGTGGGAAAAACTCTAATGTAAAAGCTCAAATGCTATAATAGCTATATTGACCTTTTACATCAGAGTTGTTTTAAGTTTTAATTGCATAGCTTTCATTGTTTAACAATTTGGTCATATCTTTTGCAGAACGCTGACCCACCTATTAAAGAGTCTCCAAACAAACGTATGCCGAAAAGTCGCATGGTGTCACCGGCACTGTCAAAGATGACTCCTGCACAGGCCTGGCTGGCGACTACCCTACCAGACAACACAACTGAACTGTCACAGATGACAGACACACAGCCGGACCAGTCAACTTCGCTGCCAGGAGTGATCTCAACCGACACTACGGACACATCAACCAACGTAAGTTTAACAGCAATGTCACTAGATTCCTTCTTTTTAATGACTTCTGTTGCTTCCTAGGAGAAACTGCCTTACAATGACGTAAAGGAAACCTTACATGTACATTGTATTGACAATAAACAAATACGAAACAGACGAGAGAATATTAAAACAAATAGCTGTAGCTTGAAAATTAAAATCGATAGTTTCCTGTAGGATGAAGGAATGTATTGCTCAATTATGTCATGCTTTTTCCTTTATTATCATTACCATCGTTACTCTTTGTTCCATCTTTCTTTATGTATGTAAAATCACACATTGAGCTCTTCAATTAATAGAACCTTTAACCCTATCTAGACCGGGGGGGGGGGGCTTAAAGTGCCCGCGGCAACTTTGATGTCACCTAGCGTCTGAACGGCTAAAGCTAGAACCGCCAAATTTGGTGACTTTTCCTAAAATATTGTTGGCAACAAATCTGTATCAGTGGAATAAGATTATGATTTTTCTTGTTGCCATGGCAACGGGTTTCTGACAGGCATTTTTTGCCAAATTTAATTATTTCCATTTAAACAACAGAATTTTAGGGGTTTTATGTCAAGTTACACATTGTTTCTAACATTAATAACATCACATATAATTTTATGTAAATCTTATCATTAAAATGCATAATTTATGCTAATTTGATGACGTCATTGGCCAAAATCCAAGATGGCGGACCATATCATTAGATCAGGTAAATGCAGCTTATTTTCCTTAAAATTTCATCAATACTCCCATTTTTTTACAAAAAAGGTTCATATGAATGTCTTTAGTCTGTTTACAATGTATTTTAGGCTTCATCCTGAAAAAAAACTATTTTTCAAAATTCAAGATTGATGATCCAAGATGACGGATATGTAATATATGCATGACGTCATTTTATGACGTCACCGGTGTTGCTATGGGCAACATAAGATTTAGTACATCCTAATATTCTGTCATAAACACTTTTGGTAAAGTTATGTCGTATACTGTTTAGTTTTCAGGGAATAACCTATCTAGACGGTTTTGGCCAATAAAATCACATTAATGACGTCATAATGACGTCATGTTACGTCACAACGACTTAAAAATTGTACGTATGATAAATTTTTACTAGTACATCATCCTCTGAAAATTTGGTGGTCCTACGATATACCGTTCTCGAGTTCTGAGGGGGGGGGCGAATGAGCCCCCCCCCCCCCCGGTCCCACCAAGCCCAAAAAAGCCCGGTCTAGATAGGGTTAAATTCAGTATTTGTTTAGTTTCCTCCACACTTGATCCAGGATACTGCTGAGAAAGATTGGACATTTCCACGACCACCACCCGTACACGGCGACTCATTCGACAACACAAACGGTTAGAAATGCATATCATATAACCTTTAGGGCTTGTTATTACAAACAATACATTAAATATAAACCACATGTACTTTCCACAGAAGTAAGAAGTATGCGAAAAATAACGAAGGAATGTGTAAAGTTGGTAGCTTCTAGCACAAGCCTTTAACATGCCTGTGTAAATTTTGAAATAAATCAGATTCATCAGTTACATCATTACCTTCTGTAACTACTGAGTTAAAAACTCCTTTTACACAACCAAGTCTTGTATTTAGCTAAAGTTTCGATGACTGTCACCTTCCTCGGGGCAATTCTGACTGGATCAGAATTCCTCCCTGAATGGCCAAAGACGTTTGGTTGATTCTTTGTTATGGGTTCACCACACCACGAAGTGGTGGTGAACCCATATTGCTTTTTCTGATGTTTCTTCTCCTCCTTCTCCTCCTTCTCCTGCCATATCTTTAAATGGATTCAGCTTCTTCATTTTAGGGCCTAAGGTCCTGAAATTTGGTATGGAGGTACAGTGGGCAAATACCCCTAGGCGTTTTTTTTAATTTTGTGATACAGGCTTTTAGAATTGTTTTA